GCCTGTGTAACTATCACAACCACATACATGATGGTGAACATTTCTGATGTGCTCTTTTGATCTGCAGATTTAACTCTATTTCAGGGAAATTATCTTGTGTTATATCTTTGAATATAGCTTATATCCTATTTGTCAGTTTTCAGGGACACTAATTATTCTTATGTTGAATTGTCTGTCTTCCATATTTTTTAGTTTCCTTCTAGTCCCATTATCTTTTTCAGCTACATTTACTTAGCATCTCAAGCCTTTTTCTGTGTCAGGAGTTTGATTTTGAGCTGTGTTAGTGAAAATTCTTGAGGTATTTTTGACTTACCTAAAGGACATCTCAGGGTGGGGCAGAATTTGAGCTGACCAATGTACTTTGTTCTCTTCTAGAGGCTGTTTCTCCCCCTTTGACAGTTTTAAAGTTTATTGCTTTAAGTTCCTTTTATTCACATATACACAAACAAGCATATCTCTGTGTTGGGTTCTTTTTTGGGGAAATTAGAGATAAGGAATTCTAGGAGGAAGGTTTGGTTGGCTTTAACATACATCACATGTGTCTTTCTTAGGAGCATTCATTAAGAGTATTGAGAGGTCGTTCTTCAATATCTTTACTTCTTGGTAGACTTTGGAACATTTTTCTGCCCCTATGCCAATTTTTTTCCTTCCTTATTAATAATATCCTAGTACTTTATTAGGTCCTGGGATAGGTGGGGTAAGGAGTATCATAATCTTTCATAGGTAGGAAAATCAGGAATGGAGGTTATCAGGTTTTTTGTTGTTGTTTTTTTGTTTTTGTTTTTGTTTTTGTTTTTTGAGACTTAAGTCTTGCTCTATCACTCAGGCTAGAGTGCAGTGGTGTGATCTTGGCTCACTGCAACCTCTGCCTCCCCAATTCAAGTGATTCTCCTGCCTCAGCCTCCTGAGTAGCTGGGATTAGAGACATGCACCACCACACCCAATTTTTGTATTTTTAGTCGAGATGAGGTTTCACCATGTTGGTCAAGCTGGTCTTAAACATCTGACCTCATGATCCGCCCTCCTTGGCCTCCCAAAGTCTAGGATTACAGATGTGAGCCACCGTCCCTGGCCGAGAACTGCTGTGTCTTAATGAGGTATTTTCCCTTTCTTTCCTAGAGAGTGAGTACTTGCTCTAGGAATATAAGTATTTAACTTTTTTCCATCCCTTTATAAACATTAAACTGGCATGTGTGTGTAACGGTGGAACATGGTGGTAAAATGTGTGGGCGAAATGTAAAATGTGAAACAACTGTGACAGCAGTTCCAGGACTTTTAAATTAATTATTGTAAATAAAATGGTATGAATCTGAAATTTTGCTTGAATTGAGGACTAAACAACTTAGGGACTTTCTGAAATAGATTTGATTGAAGAACAGACTTGATTATGGATAACTGTGTTCAGAAAGGACATTTCTAATTTATGTAAAATTTTAGGATAAAGTGTGATTTTAAAGGTAGAAGGATCTTAATGTATCAGTTATATAATAGAAATTTATCAATTTATTTTACAACTAATTATTGAACAATTACTATAACCCTGGCATTGATCTAAGTATCGGAAATGTGCCTGTCCTTTTGGAGCAGGATTGTATAATAGCAGAGTAGATAGGTAATAAGTAAATGTGTAAACATGTAATTTGAACTATAAGGTAATATACTACCCATTTTATCTATCTCGAGGAAATGAGCTAAATATAAGAAATACCTAAAAAATAATTTGAACTTATGTTTTTCACCAGATTCTTCAGCTCTGAAAGAAATAGGTTTTTCAGAATTATTTTTGGATTTATATAAAAACTTATCTACAGATACCTTTTATAAGTGACCTTTCTAGCATTTCTTCTTAAAAAATTAATTTCAGAGTGATCTAAAAAATAGCAACATTACTTTGTTTTAAATTTGCCTGTGTGTAAATTTTGAGCTAGTACTTGAGCTCTCTGACTTTTAATTTTTTTTTTGAAACAGAGTCTCACTCTTGTTGCCCAGGTTGGAGTGGGATGGCACGATCTTGGCTCACTGCAAACTCTGACTCCCGGGTTCAAGTGATTCTCCTGCCTTAGTCTCCCGAGTAGCTGGGATTACGGGCGCCCGCCACCACGCTCAGCTAATTTTTTTGTATTTTTTAGTAGAGACGGGGTTTCACTATGTTGGTCATGCTAGTTACAAACTCCTGGCGTCAGGTGATCCACCCTCCTTGGCCTCCCAAAGTACCAGGATTACAGGCGTGAGCCACGGCGCCCAGCCGACTTTTAATTTTTTAAATGTATACACTGAGATGGTTGGCCTAGTTCCATGATTTATTTGATTGATTGATTGATTGAGATGGAGTCTCTGTCACCCAGGCTGGAGTACAGTGACATGATCTTGGCTCACTGCAACCTCCACCTCCTGGGTTCGAGCAATTCTCCTTCCTCAGCCTCCCGAGTAGCTGGGATTACAAGCATGCGTCCCCAGGCCCAGCTAATTTTTGTATTTTTAGTAGAGGTGGGGTTTCACCATGTTGGCCAGGCTGGAATTGAACTTCTGATCTCATGTGATCTGCCCGCCTCAGCCTTCCAAAGTGCTGGGATTAACAGGCAGTGAGCCACTGCGCCCAGCCCAGTTTCATGATTTTAAAACTGCTCATCTGTGCCACTCGTTTTCTTCCTTGCGATAGTTCAACTTTGGTCTGTTTTATATGTTGAAAATACGTAGATCTTTGTAAGATTTTCTTTTAAAACATGTTTTTTAAAACTTAATTTTTTAAAGATTTTCTTGGCTGCTGAAAAGAAAATAACTTGAGGATGCTCATGTAGAAAAATGAATTTTCTAAATGAATATGAATATATCTTATGGAAATCAAATGGCAATCATGCATTTATAAAATATTTAGCTAAAGTATATGTATGTATTGCTATACTCATACATATAAAATAGCAACAGGCCGGGTGTGGTGACTCATGCCTGTAATCCCAGCAGTTTGGGAGGCTGAAGTGGGTGGATCACTTGAGGTCAGGAGTTCGACACCAGCCTGGCCAACATGGTGAAACTCCATCTCTACTAAAAATAAAAAAATTACCTGGGTGTGGTGGCACACACCTATAGTCCCAGCTACTTGGGAGGCTGAGGCAGGAGGATCTCTTGAACTGGGGAGGTGGAGGTTGTGGTGGGCCAAGATTGTGCCACTACACTTCAGCTTAAGCAACAGTGAGACTCTGTTTCAGAAGAAAAAAAAAAAGCAATCATATAAAAGGTTTAAAAGGATGCTATGAAAAATATGAATAGAAATGCTAAGAATTTCTTTTCATATTCCAATAGATTGGCTTGTGTATTCCTTGAAATGATTCCTCCTAATTTTTGGATATCACTGACATATCCTACCTCAGTGACCCATTCAGATGCTTACATCCTAGTATTTGTCATCACCATGATTTCTGACATTGTAAACATCTGCCCTCTTGATGATTACTTCCTGTTTCTGCCAACTTACTCACTGTTGCTAATTCAACAATTTTCAGAATGCATTGAAACTTGTGTTTTACCAGCCTTCACTTACTCCTTTCCCTCATATTGCAATAATTTCCTTGCAAACATTCTTAACTTTCTTGCCCTGTTTTCTGCTGAACCTAGTGGAAAAGCAAGTCTGGCTCAACTCGTCTTTTTACTTATTTCACAGTCCTGTCTCTTAAGGCCTGGAAAGTGCCAGAAGCCTAGAAATACCCTCTCGTCAACTGTCATGGCTGATTCATTCTTTTTTCACCTTAGGCTAGCTGTCTCTTTTCCGGGTACATTAGTTTTTTCTCTGTGGTTCACACATTTTTTTCTCTTCACAAGAGACTAGCCTAATCAAACTGAATATCTCTTGCACCTTATTTGAAATTCATCAGAGAATCAAATTGGCTCAGCTTGGAGGAAATGCTTATCCCTTGTGCCATAAACTATGTTGGAGGAACAAGTTACCACACTATAAGCATAGCTGCTGGGGCCCACTCTTTAGGATTTGTGGGTGGTGGTAATGAGTGTGGTATTACTTCTTTTAAGAAGTAGTTGTGGATTAGGCAGACCCCCTCAATAAAAACCACTTTGCTAATCAATCTTTAAGGAGAGAGACGTTCTTAATCTGGAGTCTGTGAATGAGCTTCAGAGAGTCTCTGAATACCTTAAAATTATTTGAAAACTTTTTGTGCGTGTACATACATGCCGTTTTTTTTTTGAGATGGAGTCTTGATCCGTTGCCCAGGCTGAAGTACAGTGGTGCAATCTCAGCTTACAGCAACCTTCACCTCCTGGGTTCAAGCGATTCTCCTGCCTCAGCCTCCTGAGAAGGAATTACAGATGCGTGCCACCAGGCCTGGCTAATTTTGTATTTGTAGTAGAGATGGGGGTTTCACTGTGTTGGTCAGGCTGGTCTCGAACTCCTGACTTTTAATGGAGAGAGAGTCCACAGTTTTTACGTATCTTCAGAGGGCAGTAGAGGACATTACTGTAGGTTTTTTTGGTTTTTGTTTGTTTTGAGATGGAGTTTCGCTCTTGTTGCCCAGGCTGGAGTGCAATGGTGCCATCTCAGCTCACCGCAACCTCCACCTCTGTGGTTTAAGTGATTCTCCTGCCTCAGCCTCCTGAGTAGCTGGGATTACAGGCACACACCACCACACCCAGATAATTTTTGTATGTTTAGTAGACAGGGTTTCTCCATGTTGGTCAGGCCGGTCTCAGACTTCCAGCCTCAAGTGATCTGCCCACCTTGGCTTCCCAGAGTGCTGGGATTACAGGAATGAGCCTAGCCCAGCCTACTGTAGGTTTTTGTTGGTTTGTTTTGTTTTGTTTTAGCAGTAATGACCTGTGATTACGTGGATTTAGAAATCTTAACAGTGAAAAAAAAAAAAAAAAAAACAGTTTTTGCTGTCGTATTTTGAATTCAAGATTATTAAAGAGGTAAAGAAACATGACTTTTAATGAAAAATTTAGTTCTTCAAAACTTGAGTTTGACAGATGAATGTTGTAAATTGATATTTTGTTTTTACATATACTTTAGATCAACAGAGGAGAATATTTTTGCCGCCTCCACCTGGAATTAGAAAATGTGTCATATCCACCAATATTTCTGCAACATCTTTGACAATAGATGGAATCAGGTATAACTTTTGAAATTTCTCTTAAAGTCAAAGAAACCTATCATTACTAAACATTAGCTAAACATTACTACTGAGTTTACTTTTCTGTGCCCTCCACTAATTCCATTCTCTCCTACTTTTTAATGTTCTTAACATGTAATCACCTATTTTGTAATTATTGATTGCTTTGAGCAGGAAATGGTATAGGAGGTATATACTATATTCCTATTCACACTTTTTGTTTTAGAGACAAGGGTCTCCTTATGTTGCTGAGGCTAGAGTATAGTGGCTGTTCACAGGTGCACAGTCATTGCACACTACAGCCTTGAATGGGGATCAAGCGATCCTCCTACCTCAGCCTCCTAGGCAGCTGGGACTACAGACATGTGTCACTGTACTTGGCTGTTCACACTTTTTAACTACTTGGCAACTTGAAGCTTCCTCTTTCCAAATTTAAGATTATGTAGATTGTATATAATGCTTCATGAGTTTCAGTAAATAGGAAGCCAAAACCTATTTTTCTGTACTCCCATTACAAGTATACACCTTAGATGATCTGATTCTTGCAGCCTCATTTGGTAGAGCAAGTTTATGTATCCATTGTTTATCTGGATATACTGTCTCTCACTTTTTATCTTTTTGTGAAAATTAACGGATTCAGGTCCCTTACCTTTTTTAGATGTAATAAATAGTTCTCTCAAATTTTTTTGGTAAATATAGTAAGGAGATACTAGGAAATTTTAAGTCTGGACTGATAATTAATGTGAAGTTCTTTAAGACTGGGATATTTATCTTTTACTCAATATATTTTATATCTTAAAGTCTGATTGTCTGCCACAGGAAGGCTGAACCTGGATCGCAAAGATCCTATGTGTTTCTCCTGGGTCAAATGATCACCCAGGTCTGAGAGGAAGTCTAATTTCCTTTGCTTTTCTCTGTTACTTTAAAAATAATGGTTTCACTAAGGGATTAAGAGAGTGCTCTCCTGGGTAAATTAACCTCTGTAATTTTCTGTTTCCTGCGCAGGCAAAAGCCATTAAATAGCATGTTTCCAAATGTTGTCCTGCTACTGCTATCCTACTTTGGTTTCTTACCTGAATTGTTCACCATTTAATTGGCTTAAAATGGCATGTTAAGGGCTAGTTGAAATTAGATTCTGAATCTGTTAAAATGGTCTGAAGCTGACTTTCAAGTTTGTATTTTTTTTTTAATTGAGACAAAATTCACATAAAATTAATCATTTAAAAATGAACAATTAAGTAGTACTTAGTACATTTACAGTATTGTACAACCACTGCTTCTACTTGGTTCTAAAATATTTCATTACCTGAAAATAAAACCCCATACCTATTAGGCAGGTTCTCCACATTCCCCTCTCCACCTCAGCCCCTGGCATCTACCAGTCTTGCTTTTTGTTTGTATATGTATTTTCTTTTATTCTTTTTAATTCTTTAGATGTGTCAGCAGGAAGCAGTATGTATTTTCTGTTCTGGATATTTTATATACATGGAATCATAGAATATGTGGCCTCTTGTGTTTGCTTTCTTTCAATTAGCATAATATTTTTGAGGTTCATCCACATTGTAGCATGTATCAGTACTTCATTCTTTTTTGTGGCTAAATAATACTGCATTGTGTGTGTGTGTGTGTGTGTGTGTGTGTGTGTGTATACACACACACACACACACACATACCATTGTGTGTGTCTATGTATGTGTGTGTATATATACTATATATGTATACGCAAAGCAGTTTGTTCATCCCTTCATCGATTAATGGTTAATGGGCATTTAGGTGTTTTTACCTTACGGCTATTTTTCATAGTGCTGATATGAACATCTATTAGTATTTGTTTGAGTACTTGTTCTCAGTTCTTTTGGGTGTACACTTAGAAATGGAATTGCTGGATCATATGGTAATTTTGTGTTTAACTTTTTGAGGACCCCCCGCCAAAAATTTTCCACTTTGGCTGAACCATTTTACATTCCCAGCAGCAACATATGAGGATTCTGATTTCTTGACTTTGAAGTTTTTGACTTAACGTAATAGGCATTGTGTACTTGCTGGTTTGCTAGGAAAGGAGAAACCAAAGTGGTTAAAAATTAACAGGTCTTTTTTTATTTTCCAGAAACTTAAATTGCTTTGATTCTTTTTAGATATGTGGTAGATGGTGGCTTCGTGAAACAGTTAAATCACAACCCCAGATTAGGGTTGGACATCCTGGAGGTGGTTCCAATTTCAAAGTAAGTCTCTATGTCAAATCTTTTTATTCAAAGAACACCTGATTAGGTAATTTCTAGCTGGTAGGGGGAGAGAAAGTAAATTATCTGAGAAACCCACAGAACATCCTGGGGACTTTTTGGGTTTTTTTCCTTCTGTAGGAGCGAGGCATTACAGCGAAGTGGCCGAGCTGGCAGGACTTCTTCGGGAAAATGCTTTCGGATCTATAGTAAAGATTTTTGGAACCAGTGTATGCCTGACCATGTGATCCCTGAAATTAAGAGAACTAGTTTGACATCTGTAGTTCTGACCTTAAAGTGCCTTGCCATACACGATGTCATAAGGTATGTAGACAACTAGAAAAAATGAAAAATTTGTTAGTGTGGAGCCAAGTTACTGACTCAAAAATTATTTTGAAGTATTTGACTCATATATCCCTGAGAGTTGAGGCTAACCTCTTTTAGAGGTTGGTATTCATACTGGATGCTTTTTTTTTTTTTTTTTT